TTGACTAAATCTTTCCTTTAAAAACAGTTTGAGATTTATGAATGTTGTCTTTGAAAAAGTTCACTGTTGTCCAGACATTAGGAAATTTATAACCACATGTTGAATATTATAATTGCAGCTATACCTTAATAACATGTTCCAGTGGTAGTTCACTATTGTCCAGACATTGGAAAATTAATAAATACATGTTGAATAGTATAATTGCAGCTATACCTTAATCATTTAACCCGTTCCAATACATAGTCACATAGTTTTTAAAAGACACAAACCAAAGTAATTGTTAAAATAGTAGCAAAAGTACAAGAGTGGAACCTTCAGAGAATGAATTGCACAGGCCTTATCCAATGAGGGGTTATGTAGGGAAATTATTAACCTGCTCTCCTTTCTTTCCCCCCTCCTCTTTGGTTTTGTTTTTTTGTTTTGTGGTAGTCTGACCCTTGGTTATCATTACAGAACTATGGAGGTGCAATGAGACCCCCACTGAATGCTTTAGGTGGCCCTGGAATGCCTGGAATGAACATGTAAGCAAAATATTGTATTATCCTGTTCAGTAAAGTGTTGTATTTTCTGTCTACTAAAACAATATTAGTTTGTAAAACAGTTTGAGTTCCTAAATCTCCAGGTAGTATAAACATGAGCTATAGTGTTTGCTTCATTTTCACGACATAGTCTCTGTGCTTTTCTTCCTTCTTTTGCAACTTCTATTTTTTTTTTTTTTCCATTTTCAGGTACCATAAATGTCAACTTCTAGCCTGTTTTTCTTTTTTATTTTCATATTTTATTGGTCTAAGCCATCACAAATAAGCATATAGTCCGTGTACAGGTGCTGACACCATGACCAGGACTGAACTAGAGAAGTAGATAATTGAGTATCTTTAACCCGATTTTAGCAGATACATAGCGATTACTAAGACTGGAGTTTTTAATGCTTATAAATATATACGTGTCTTCACTTTTGCTTTGTCGAGACCACTGTTATCACAGGAAGAATTCACTCTAGTAGTGACTTCTGCATTAAAGTTTTCCTTGGTATAGGATGATTTTTCTTTTGGAAATTTGTGGTGCATTTAGAAAAGGAATAAGCTTAAGGTTTTTACTGAAAAAGCCTTTTCAAATCCAAAGGAAGTAGTTTGTTTCTATCACTCAATATAATAACATTTGTTAGGGAATTTTTATTTATTTTTCATTATCCAACTTCCCTTCAAAATCCCATATATCTCAGGTGCTGGTTAGTAATGTTCATTAATTCACCATAGGATCAGTCCCATGATGTGGCCTAAAGAAAGCTCACCAGAAATAATGAGTGTTCCACATGGGGTTACGGCCAGTCTTCTCAGTATACTTTCTGTCAGTCCACGTCTTGGTTACCTACATGTCAAATTAAACAACTCTGCCATCAATTAATGACATGGAAAATATGCTATGATAAAAGCTCTTTTGATGTACAAAGGGATTTTTTTAAGTTTTCAAAACTATTTTCATGAAAAGCCATTTTGCCAAAAATAGAAAATAGGTTAATAGGCAGGTACCATCCAGACTTAAAACTAACAGACAAGGGAAAAAGTAGTTCACATTTTCCTATCATGTCTCTTTACTTTTAAAGTAAAAATAGACATGAAGTCTGATTCTTCTTAAATTCCTCAAAGGCTTAGCCTTTTATTATGGTTACTACAGAAAATAGTGAATAATATTTTGTGTTTATGTCAAAGGCTGAAACTCTTACCTGTAGAATGGAGATACGTTTAAAATTTACCTACCTGGGATTCTCACTTTAAAATGCAGCAGATATGAGATACGTTTTGAATACTATGATCAACCCAGAATTATCATTAAATATTAAGAATGTATCTAATGTCATTCTGTACAAAACTCTGCATTATATTAACTGTGTAGTCAACTTTAAATCAACCTGTTTTTGCCAGTAGGGAGAAAAAAAAAAAAATTTTACGTGACCATTGGGAGACTCAAACTGATGCTTAAAATTGTCTACTTCCATTTTCACATGTAGTTAAACATATGCGTATGGGTACATTTAATCCCTAGACTAAAACCAAACCAAACCCGTTGCCCTTGAGTCAATTCCCACTCAAAGAGACCCTATAGGACAGAGTAGAACTGCTCCTTTGGGTTTCCAAGGAGCGGCTGGTGGATTCGAACTACTGACCTTTCGGTTAGCCGCTAAGAGCCGCTAAGAGCCGCTAAGCTCTTAACCACTGTGCCAGGGAGATCAAAAATATGGTTGAAAATTTTAAATGATTATTTTTGTTGATATTTGAGTTTGGATTTCTTATTTAAGTGTACTCAGGTACTTTTAATTATTTTCCATTACGTAATACTTTGCTATTTATCTAGCAAATATGTAAAGGCTTGACAAACTTCTAGACCTTACAGACTCAAATTTCTGTGATTTGTTACCATTGCCTTTTATTTGGAGCCTTATACCAATTTTAAATTTCTATAAATTAGTATTCCTCGAAGGACAATGAAAATGTAAATATTTAGCTGTATAAACCTTATAGCAGGGAAAGTTCTATACAGTGGAAGATACCACCAGAGAAAATTCTTCTTATATCGATATTGGCCCCAACAAAGCAAAAGTGAATTTCAAGAGACATAAAAAAATGAAACACATTATCTGCATTGTGCTCAATAGAATAGGCTTTATTGAAGTTCACTTCAAAATTTAATCATCTTTGAAACAAAATAAGTCTTACTGTGTGAAAAACAAGTGTTTCTAACTGCGATGTGTTTGTGGCTTTCGTCCTGTCATATGTTTACATGCTGGACAACTTAAAAATCAAAGGAAAAGACATTAGAATGGTGTTACCTTGAGCTGTGTCTTATCTTTAACAGTCTAAAATATTTGTGTATGGTGGGTCAGGGCAGACCTGCTGGAGAATGATATCTTGTTCATTTTTCTTTAGCTTGTCATGTTTTTATTATTTGCCATGAAATTATCAGTGATTAAAAATATCCAACCCTGGTCATTAAAGTAACTAGATACTGTGTTTTCAACTGGCAGCTTTATCACTGTACTGCAGCATAAACCATTTGCAACAAAATTTTGATGATTTTGCTGCTAAAAAATACTGGCTTCCTCCAAAATGAATGGTTATTCTGATATAATCTTATATTTCCATGCTCTAAACACAGGATAAATTACACAAAAAAATTTTAAGTATACTTTTACTGTTCCTATAATTAATATCTTTAAAAATAAAAGTTTAATATAAATAAATATTCTAATATGAATTATTAATATTAATTTAAATAGTTTAAAGTAGAATTTACAAAATATTGACACAATGTAAATGCTTTCAAATGCATTAGAGATTATTTTTAGAAGAAATCTTGAATAGTGATATGTTTCTATATTAACTACAAATTTCCAAAGAATTTAGAATTCAGCATTAAAGCATTTCTAATTCAATTTTGATACTTTGCTGTCTTACAGAAACTAGGAGTACAAAAAGATTTTAAAGGGTCTTCTTGCTCTATATAATATCCCCAAGAACTATAAAGTTTGTGTACTTATTATCTTGAAATAAAATAAAGGATTAATTAATCCCAGATTAATTAAAGGATTAATCAATCCCGGATTAATTAAAGGATTAATTAATCAATTTTTTTATTTTTATTTTTTCTGTTTGGTAGTCATTGCTGCTTTGATTTCATCATATGCATAAACCCTTACCAAAAAATACAGACTTCTTTTAAATTCCATTTTTCTCTTTATGTTTATATGAGGCTAACCTGATTCTAATTCAGACTATACTTAGATAGAAGTTTTCATTGAAAATTAAGAATACTTTGTTGATAACTCTGATGGGCCTCAAAAGAAGTGGAAGTTACTGAGCTTAAGTAGTTGTTCTAATAGAACTACTCACTGTTACAATCCCCACTTCATTCAGTGCTATTGGTGAATTTAAACTGTTTCAAAGACAATGGTAATGTTAGGGGAAATTTATCTATCAATGTGAATTATTAATATTTATTCTATTGTAACATAATACAGTTGAATATAAAATACATATATTGGTGGTTATCAAACAATCAAAATGCATAAACGTTATTGTTTTATATTATTTTAATACATTTTATTCATACAGCCCTTGCTTAGACATAATATTTCAAACTTATGTGATCATTATCTACATAACATAATTGTATACAAATTTTTGCCATGATTTGAACATGGTATATTTTTTATGTTGTCTGAAGATAAATGTTTCCCAATATTCTGTTTTTCTCTACTGTGTTTTACTTATCATCAAACAAACCATGTGGGTAGGTCTTACTGACCAAATGTTTTACATGATCAGCACATATCCTATGTTTTATTTTAGTTTCTGTCCATGAGGGCATTGATTCTTGCGTGTAACATCGTCTTTCTAAAGTATTCCAGTAACTAATTGTAAAATAATTAAAATAATGTCAATCTTGGAGAGGCAGCAGTTTCCATAGACAACATAAACTCCCCTCACCTTCTCCCTGTGTGATAGTTTGGCCAGGTCACTTCGGGAAATCTTACCTTCCCTTCTATTCCTCAAGCCAGATTGGGAAAAATACCACTTTAGTATCCCTAATAGAGCCTAAGGACAGGAGTCATGTCTTACTGTGCAGTTTACACCACTCAAGAAACCCAAAAGAAAATTAAAAATAGTTCTAAATATTCAAGCAAACATGAGTAATATAATAACTAAGTTGAACAACTTTTTTGCCTAACATTGAGAACTTTAGAATGAGAACCAGAGAAAAAAAATTTTTTTAATTAAAAGTTTTCATTGTCTTAGTTATTAGAGAAGAGGGAATTTTGAACGACCCTAATTACAGAGGACCAACTGAAGCAGTCTGCTTGTCATCAGGCAGTATGTGTTCAGGTGTGCTTTGTCCTAAAGCTTCAGGACAAATGACCTTTTTTGTTTAATTGGACACTAATTTTGTTTAAAAATCTTTATATCTTTGTAAATTATGGAGTACAAAACTTTCTCCTCAGCCCTAAAATCTGGTAAAATATTGGCATACATTACCTCCTGCTTTTTCCAAGATTTACACTGGCCACTCTCTTGACCTAAAATTATGAAAACAAGAAATATGGTTCCTTTATTTTATAGTAACTAAATCATCAATGGCACTGGCAGATAGATTAATATATAGGTATATAAAGTAACACGTATAATATTCTTTAAGTATAGATGTGATTTTTGAAAAAAAGGCAACTTTTTATGTCCCTGTTATGTACATGTGTGTATTTGTAACCTGATAAGAGTAATCAGTTTATATACACACACACATTTTTAAAATAATCTCATTTTTAATCAGATACAGTTGACACATATTGATGTAAAAAATTATTTATATTTATTTCATAATCAGTGCTTTTTACTGTAAAAGTGTGTTTTTATAATGATTTAGATATATGGATATAATTACCACACTGTGATGATTACTACTTTTAGTGCTTATTATAATAACCAAACTTGATATTAAAATAAAAGCTTACTAAAAGTGGTTTGATTTAGGAAGAAAGCTGTTTAATGGAATAAAAAACATTTGATTTAAGAAATTTAAAAAACTATGAAAATAAATGTAAAAAATAATTTTGGTGCTGAACTTTATGGTAACTGAATTAGAAATATTAATATTTTAGGATTTGTTATTGCTTATTGTTAACCATTCAAAGCATAGGTTAAAAATTATTTTATCATATTGTCTTGTAGGGGTCCAGGTGGTGGCAGACCTTGGCCAAACCCAACAAATGCCAATTCAGTGAGTATATATATTTTGAATTTTTTTTTGCAATTTGTAATATCTAACAATAACAGTTATTTTTGAAATCCATACAGTAAATTATATTAACTTTTTTAAAATAATTATTCAAAAAGGAAGTTTGTATATAGTTTTAGAAAGATATACATATTTCTTGGAAATATGTAGTTTATTTCACTTGAAGTTCTAATGTAGACATGCGTTGTGTAGATTAACAGACTTTTAAAAATACAGAAATATTATGGTTTAAGTATACTGCAGTAGGAATATAGTAGTCTATATTTATTCTAAAAATGGCTCGAATTTCTACCTTAACTATATAATCACTAAGTCTGCAGATAAGATTAATCTCTCCGAGGAATCCAAGTTATATGATTGTATTTGCTGTGCTAGTTACACCAAGGTTTGCTCTCTTACTACTTCAGGAAGCAAGTGCACATCATTTGCCTTGTGCCTGTGAGCAAAATTGCTATTGTAGGACATCCTATTTATGTGCCTGAAATCCTGAGCATTTTCTTTACATGTTTTTTGGCAATGGTTTGACCACCCAAATATGTTTTTCATAATAATGTCACATAAATATATGCACGAGTTAAAAATTAAGCTATCAGTTTTAAAATTAATATAGTCCTGGACTTTGAAACCTTGAGTTCCTTAATATGTGAGAGAGGACTACTGTGTACATTTGGGTAGTCTGTGTACTGCTCAAAGGTGCCTGGGCCAAAAGAGTCAGTAGAGGGCTGAAATACAGCCTACGTTCTATCTGTGAAGCCTATAGGCATCTTCCCAGAAGGGACGCCTTTCACTAATGTGCACAGCACAAAGGCACCTTCCTTGGTTGGCAGTGGCCTTAATGCATAAAACTGATCCATTGATTAAGATTAATTTAAACTTCAGGAAAATTAAAAGTGAGGTGTGTGTGGTATAGCAAGAATCATCCTAAATCCGTTGCTCATACTATTCTAAGGCAGAAGTCTTCTCAGTTAAGTAGATAGTAATTATCATATTTTTAGAGAAAAACAACATGATTAATTTATATTACCTGCCTCTTCAGTTTAAATAATGAATGAAATTATTAAATGGGTTTAAACGACTGAATGAAATTATTTGGGGTGGACATAATTATGATGTTGCTTCCATTTGTGTCTTCAGTGGACTTTGTCATTTCAACAAATCTTCTTTCTAAGACACTGTTTTTCCAGATAATATGTTTTAATGTGCATACTCTCTCCAAAATTCTTTTAGTTTGCTTATATGCTTTTGAAGAGTCTACATTTCTTTTTGCTTCTTTCTATTGGCCTTAACCAGGTCATTCAAGATTTCACTTTAAAATGACACCTGGCTAGCAGTTCAAGATACACTGCTTTCATCTTCTATTAAAATACCCTTAAGTATGTAGCAGAATTTTTTTTTTTTTTCATAACTGAAAACTTAAACTGACAGTCTTCCTATTGCCAGAATCTGGAAAGAATTTTCAATATCTGCATGCTGAAGAAACTAAATTAAAAAGCACAATCAGTGGCTGGTCTTGACTATGTAAGCCTTCCCACCTAGAAGCAGGAAGACCCTTTTCTCTGTCCTCACTGTCAGCTCAGCCAGTCATACCTGTACTGCTCACTGCAGGCAGCCTGAGTGCAGGTCGTGCCCACTACTGCCTGGTTCCCGTCAGTACCTCCTTTTATGCACTTATCCAGAGACTACTTCTTCAAAAGTCCACTTAGGAATACGGACAGGGTTGATATTGAGGATGGGGCATTGTACCTCAGGGATATATTACTCAAGTAAAGAGTATTAAAGACAGAAATCAGAAGAACTCTGGTAGCAGTGCATTCTGGTGTGTTTGGGTTTGTTTGTTACTCCATCTCTCCAGGATTTCATAGAGCCAAGCACTGTGAGTAGAAGAATGTACTATAGCAGGTCAGCAGCTCGGCATTATCTTAAAGCCTGAGAAACATTAGGAATTAGGCTAGGAGTTGTACACATAAAAATGTTATCCAACAGTCAATCTGAAATTGACATTGGACCAGCACACATGTAGGCAGGTAATAACACTGAAAGCAGTCTCCTCTGTTAATATGCACCACGTGTGGATACATCTCACCTCACTCAGTGTGTCTGAACAGAGAAAGAAGTGGGAGGGAGGCTAATCGTTTTCTCTTTAGAAAGAGAAAGGGGACATCATCCTGAATATGCAAAGAGAAAGCATTCCTCTGAAAATGATTGATTAGGAAAACAAGAAAAAGTAACATTCTAGCAAAAACATGGTGCCTCTGTGAAACAGGAGCAAGAAGTATTCAGGAAGGATTTTTCCTCCAAATATCACTGATTATGTTGTAGTGACAACTCATCTGTATTATGAATTCCATGCTCTTTAGACTTCCTTTTCATATTTAATAGTATAAGCACTTTTCATTTTGTATCAATAGAGTAAGTCTCTGACTCCTCAGGGAAGTGTATTAAAGTAGTTCATTTTGTTTTTTGTTTTTGCTGTTTTCAAGTTGTTGTATTCATTTACATGTTTATTCTGAAGTAACTTTAGATTTACAAAAAAGTTGCAAGAATAATACAAAGAATTCCTATATACTCTTTACCCAGATTCCCCAAGTGTTAGTATTTTACCACATTTGCTTAATTATTTTGTTTCTACATACATATTTTTCCCTGAAGCATTTGAGTATAAGTTACAGACATTATGACCCTTTATACCTAAATACTTAAGTGTGTGTTTCCTAAAAACAAAGACATTATCATAACCACAGTACAATGATCAAAATAAGGAAATAATCATTGATATAATATTATTTCCTAATCTATAGATTTTTTTCAGATTTTGCCAGTTGTCCCAGTAATATCCTTTATAACAAAAGAAAATTCAAGATCATTTGTTGCATTCAGCTGTCATCTCTCTTTTGTATCCTTTAATCTGAACAGGTCCTCAGTTTGTCTTCATCTTTCTTTACCTTACAGTTTTGTTGAATGCAAGCCAGTGATTTTGTAGAATGTCCTATAGTTTGAGCTTGTGTGATGTTTCCTCATGATTAGATTCAGGTTATGCATATTTGGCAGGAATAACATGGAAGTAATTTTATGTTTCCTCAGTGTGTCATTTTAGGAGGCACATGATGATGATTTGTCCAGTTATTGGTAATTTTAACTATAACTTTAACTTGGTTAAGGTGGTGCTTCTCCACTGTAGAATTACTGATTTTCCGTTTGTAATTATTAACCTATGGAGACATACTTTGAGACGAGAGTAAATATCCCCTTGTCCTTATACTTTCATGCACTAGTTTGCACATGATTGATAATCCAAATAATTTTTTTTATTATGTTGGTTGCCACGTGGATATTTTCTAATTTTATCCTTCCTTCTCCATTTATTTCTTGGCTTTCTGCTATAGAAAGAGTTTTTCCTTCTCCCCTGTTCATTCATTCACTCATTTGTATCAGATGGACGCATGGATTTTTATTTTATTTTTAAGTTTAGAGCGGTTTCCAATTCGATAGTTTGTACATAAAGTATTCCATGACATTGTATTCATTCCCCACAATGTGTCAGCACTCTCCACATTTCCATCCTAGGTTTCCTGTTTCCTTCCTCCTGATTTTCTACCCCTTTCTGCCTTCTCATCTTTGCTTTCGGGCAAATGTTGCCCTTTTGATCTCATATAATTGATTGTTCTGAGGAGCATGTTCCTCTCAGTGTTATGAGCCCGTCTATGGTTTGGCTGAAAGGTGGTCTGGGAGTGGCTTCCATTCCAGTTTGGAAGGGTGTCTTAGGGCAGTAGTCAGACCAGTAAGTCTGGCCTTTTTTGTGAATCTGATTTTTTGTTTTTCAGTTTTTTTCCTGCTCTGTCCAGGAGCCTTTGTTGTGATCCTAGTCAAAATGGTCAGTAGTAGTAGCCGGGCACCACTGATTTTTATTTTATTCAGTGAGGTTTTGATGCTCAAACTACCCCAAATTTGGCCAGTGGGAACCCCTTCCAGCCAGATCTTTTGTCTTTTTGACATGTTACCATTAATCTTTGAGGACTTCAAAGATCATCTTATATTTTCCCAGCCTCATCCCTGGAAACAGTCATTTCTCTAAGGAGCCTTTGTTCCTTTTTGTGTAGCATAGCATTTAGAACCCAAGGTCTGGGTACTAGGTATATGTTTTGTTGTTGGAGTGACGTGGCTCCTAGGCTCTCTCAACAAACATAACTAGGAAGTAGATGTATGTATACACACACATCTATACCTTTCTAGTCTATCTTTCTATATGTATTAAAAACATGAGCTTGCACTGATATATTCAATTTCAGTCAAGTACCACAGGCTTCATTCTAGCCTTTTTTCTATATTTATAACTTAACTTCTCTGAAAGTAAGAGGCCTGTGGTTTTGTGTTTTATTTTTGTTGTTTATATCTGGATTCTTCAGGCACATGATCCAGTAATATTCTTTTTCAGTATGAGTCTAGTTTGATGGGTTTTCTGTCTCTTGTAATCAAAAATGTCTACAGATGC